CCTGTAGCTAGACAGCACATCATGGCGGAGAGTATGTGGTGGAGCAAGTCACTCACTTCTGGGTGGCCAGGAAGCAAAAAACAGAAAGAGGAGAAAGGAGAAACAGTGGGGACTCCATATCTCTTTCAAAGGCATGCCCCCAGCAACCAAAAACTTTTCACTAGGCCCCACCTCTTAAAGTTTCCACCACCTCCCGGGAGTACCATAGGCTGGGGACCAATTCTTTTACGCATGACCTGTAGGGGACACCTATCTAAACCATAGTACTGCCTGAGACTATTTCAGACCTTTGCACCTTTGTATTTACTTCCCTTTCTGTTTATAGTTTCCCTCTCTTTGTCTGCCCAGAAAGGCCTATTTATCCCTTAAAGTCCTGTTCCAGAGATAGTGCCACAAACTCAATGTATTACCCTGGGTTTTCCTTATTGATTACAGTGTAATCCCAGCACTGGGGAGGCTGATGCAGGAGAATCCTTGAGAGTTCGAGGCCAGCCTGGGCTACAAAGTGAACTCAAGGCCAGCCTGAACTGCATAGAGAGACCTTGTCTCAAAAAAAAAAAAAAAAAAAAAAAAAAAAAGACAAAGAAAACAAAACAAAAAACCCTAAAAAAGGCAAAGAAGAAAACTTGCCTTTACGATGGAAAAGCCTAGCCAATGTCAACTACACTAGCCCATTTCTGATGCTGATAACCCAATACAACAGACTGAATAACGTAAAGAAAACAGGTTAATTTGTGCTCATGGTTCTGGAGGGGCAAAGTCAAGGGATGCAGTGCATGACATAGCAAGAAACAGGGAGTATACACCTGTATGTGTGACCCTTCTGATCTCTCCCTCTTCTTATCAAATGGCCAGGGTTCATTCATGAGGGCTCCACCTTCATGATCCTATCTAATCCCAACCACTCTAAGCACCATAGTCATGTTAACATTCCTGCCCCGCCCCCCGTGGCTTCCAGCAGGGCTGGGGATTGAACCCAGGGCCTTCACACTAAGCTACATCCCCAACTCCCCTTTTTTTACATTTTTGTGACAGGATCTTGCTAAGTCACTAAATTACCCACACTGGGCTTGAACTTGCTATCCTCCTACCTCGGCCTGCCAGGTGTGGGCCGCAATGTTCCATTTTTTTTTTTTCTTTTTCTTCTTCATTCTTTTTTTGGTGTTTTTGAGACAGGGTTTCATTATGCAGTTCACGTTGGCCTTGAACTCACTTAGTAGCCCAGGCTGACCTTGAATTTATAGTGCTCTTCCTGCCTCAGCCTCCTGAGTGCTCGGACTACAGACATTTGCACCATGCCTGGTAATGCTCCACTTTCTTAATACTTCACAAGGGGCATTAAGTTTCAGTGCATGAAGGCTTGGGGGACACACTTAAATCATACTCAAACCATAGCATCATTTTAACCAAGTGGTCAAAATTATCATCTTCATTAAGGGACAAGCAGATAAGATAAACCCCCTGATGTGATGTACCGAGAATCACACATTCTGGTAAAATTTTTGCCAAAAATATTTCACCTGAACCTAATCCTGAGGGAAAAATTAAACAAACTGAAAAATGCTCTGCAAACCAGGCCTGAACTCTTACAAAATGCCAGCGTTGAAAAGAACAGAACAAAACAAAAGGCTCAGGAATTGTTCCAAATAAAAGATGCTAAAGAAGCACAATTATCAGTGCAGTGTATAATCCTTGATTTGATCTTGGATTGAAAGAAAGTATAAATAATATTAGTGAGAGATGTGGTCAAATTTGAATATGGATTACGTACTAGATAGTAATATGAGACCAATGCTAAATTTACCGAATATAGTCCTTGTATTGTGATTATGTAAGACAGTGTCGTCGCTCTTAGGAGATACATACTGAAGGACTTGTTATATCTGCAATAAATGCCCAGTGGTTTGTCATCAGACAGAAAAGCAAACAAAGAAATGTGTGTGTGTGTGTATATCTAAACAGATAAAGCAAATGTGGTGAAGCGTTAACAATAGATAAATTATAGGTGAAGAGTAAACAGGTGTTCGTTCTTCTGTTCTTGCAGTTTTTCTGTAGGTTCGCTTTTTTTCAAAACAAAAATTTTGGCAGAATAAACAATAAATAGTAAAGAAACAGAAAGCTTTGTCCCGGGTCATGTTTTCTGTGAAATCCTCCATGACATCTCCTACTACGCTAGTCCTGCAAACACACACATAGAACAATGACTTGCCCTTTTTTTCTGGACTCTTCCGTGATTATTGCCTCTCTGACCAAACTGTAAGCTCTCAGAAATCAAGGCCTGTGCTGCGTTGGATCTACACCATGTTAGGATAGTATCCAACATCCTAGGATGCTCAGTGGATCCTCTTTCTAAAGTGATCAAACCGACTTTTGAAGCTCAGATGAGATTCAGAAAGCCAAGAGGAAAAGGTTTCTTAAGGGAGGAATGGTGTGGCCCAGGTCAGGAGGCAGGAATGTGCGTTTTGTATTTACCAAGAATATTTTATTTGTTTGGTCAGAACTGAGAATTTGTATTAGGTGAAAATGTCTAATACACAATAGATTTTTAATAAAAACCTGATGAATGAATAAATGCAATTGAAAAGGCTGGTTTAGGTCAGGTAGGAAAGGGCCTTGACTACTGAATTGAGAAATTTAAATATTAGCTAGTTTTTAACACCAGGATCTTCTCCCAGTGGTGGAAAGCAGGGATGTTCTTGGGAAAGTCCCTTATACTTTTTCTATACTGAATAACAAAGAGAAATAGAGATGAATGGGAGACTGAAAGTGACCCATTTCCAAACACAGAGGGAAGAAATGTCAACTCCTTATCCACCCAGGAAATGCCCCATAATTTTCCTCTTGTCCTTTTGAGACAAGGTCTCACTCTAAGCCAAGCTTGCAATTCTCCTGCCTCAGCTTCCCAAGTGCTTTCCATGATTCTGAATCTCTCTCTTTCATGTGCTTTGGAGTAGGGGGAGGCTGGAGATTGAATACAGGGTCTCACACATTCTAGGTAATGGCTCTACCACTAAGAGATATCCCTAACCCTTTTTATTTTTCATTCTGTGATCAGGGTGGCCTTGAACTTAGGATCCTCCTGCCTCAGCCTCCTAAGTGCTAGGTTTACAGGGATGAATCACCACACCTGGTTTCCCATGCTGAAATTTTAAGACAACCAACATCCCTCAGACTAAAGAGCATCATATAAAATCTTGGCTGAAAGAATAAATAGATCAACTTATTTCATACTGGATATGCCTATTTGAGAACAGTGTTTTGAAATTATTTTGATGACTTTTACTACATTTTTAAAGTTAAGAAGAGTGTAGTTATAAAATAGCTATAGAGTCTAATACTCTTAGAGCCTCTACAATATACAGTATAAAGTTTCGGGGCTGGGGATTTAGCTCAGCGGCACAATGCCTGCCTGGCAAGTGCAAGGTCGTGAGTTCCATTCCCGGTGTAGGGGGGATGGTAGAGTATAAAGTTTCTCCTGATGCCATAAACTCATTTATTCATTCATTCATTCATTTTTATTGTTTCATGCTGAGGATAAAACTTAGGTTCTTGTGCATATTAAACAAGCACTACCACTGAGCTATATGCATCTAGCTCTGGACTAAATCCTTTTAAATAACTTTGACCAGATTGAGCCATCTTCATTTATTTAGTGTTCGCACTCTGTTTTCTTCCAGATAGGTTTGTAGGAATTGACAATTTAAGTAATGTGAAGCTACTTGATTATGAAAACTGGGAAAAAGAAAAATATGCCATGTTTTGAAGTTATCATTTCCCTGGCCATCAGAAACAGGCTGGTGTCTGTTTCATCTTTGTTCATAATCACAGCACACATTTGTACACAAACCAAAGTGATGATCGAATGAAAGCGAAGGATATGAGTCTCTGGCTGTTCTGTGAAACAATTTGTTAGTTCCAGGTTATAGTTCTTTTTAATTTTCCCTGAAAATGCTCCAAAAATCTTTGCTGAGAAGAAATTCAAATGTCAGGTAACATTTTAAAAATAAAATTTTGGCCCAATTATGATGCAGCACTGACTTGTTCCAAAATGCTTAATATTACTAAGAAGATACCTCTGGTGGTCGCAAAGGGCCTTGTACTTTACAAAGCAAGTGGGCTTCCTTCTCTTCCTCATTTTCCTCTTCATTTTTCCCTCCCTGGGAGTGGGGATCTAACCCAGTGGAACTCTACCACAGAGTTACATCTCTAACTCTTTTTATTTTTTATTTTGAGACAGGACCTTGCTAAATTACCCAGGTTGGCCTCAAATTTGTGAACCTCCTGCCTCAGCCTCCAGAGTAATTGGGATTACATAGGCATTCCCTTTAAGGAAAGTAGACGGGATAATTTGAGCTGTTGTTTCAGGTAATACAGTAGAATCAAGTGATAAATTATTTGGGCAGTATGTATAAATGAATTGTAACATAGCCAAATGTGTCACAGCTGTCCACTACAGGCCAACTCCATGATAGATAAGGGGCTATAAATCAGTTACAGTAGCGATAGTAAGGTTGTTCCCTTACCACCAGCGATGTGTTTGTAAGCAGGAACATAATTCTATGGTTACAATCGACAAAGAAGTATCACACCAGCTCACCAAGCTCTGCCAAACCCATGTCTCAGTGCAGTTTTATAGAGATTAGCATATCACATGAGCCAAATGTTCCCCAACTTAAAATATGATACTGCTATTTTGCAGGGAAAGTGTTCTACAACAGTAATGCAACACAAGCTTTCACAGGTATTGTGTTCACTGTGGTCCAATCGTTCAAGCATAAAATAGATATGGTGTAATAGAACACTTTAAAACCTCGAAAAAGATAAGAATTAGGCCTTTGGGCAAAAAATAGCTAAGAACTGTGAGGAGGGGGTGTTCTGATGTTCCGGCCCAGGGGCGTGTCCTCCCCGCAGCAGCTAGTTGCTATTGTTATGGAAACCTGAGTTCTAGGTACTTGAGGATTGTGACGCCAGAGGTGAGGGAGTAGAGAGACAGGTCAGTGACCAACGTCCGGTCCTCTCCCCCCCACCCCCAGACCTCTGCAGGACACTTCACAGCGTGCTTGATTTCCTGAAGTGGCTGGCAAGAGACTGTTGCCCTGCTGTTCTGCTGCCCTGATGACAACAATTCCACTTCTCCTTCCATCTCAGGCTGTCGGGCAGCCCACCATCTACGAACTTTCCAAGATAACCGGCAGCCTTTACATTAGTAACGCTGTGACCGCAAGTAACCAATGTATATTGTCCTACTATAACATCACCACTGTCATCAATGCTTCGGTGGAGGTGGAGAACACGTTCTTCGAGGACATTCAGTATGTATATGTGCCGGTGTCCGATACTCCCACTTCATACATCTATGATTTTTTTGACCCGATTGCTGATCGCATCCACAGCGTGGAAATGAAACAGGGCCGTACACTGCTGCACTGCGCCGCCGGAGTGAGCCGCTCGCCTGCGCTCTGCCTTGCGTACCTGATGAAATATCACTCCATGACTCTGCTAGAGGCCCACACTTGGACCAAGGCCTGCCGCCCCATCATCCGGCCCAACAACGGATTTTGGGAGCAACTTATTAATTATGAATTCAAGCTGTTCAGTAACAACACTATATACATGGTTAATTCCCCAGTGGGTATGATTCCCAATATATATGAAAATGAGGTCAATTTGATGATGTCCATGTGACCCATAGCAGCTAACCTCGACATGGGCACCAGCTCTTACAGCAAGATTCAACACGAATTTGAGTTAGCAAGTAAGACCAAGGAAACCTCTTAGATGGCTAAGAATAGGGACCAGGGATGGAGTTTTTAATGTAGTAAGTCTTACCTTCAAGCAATAAAATTCATCAAATGAGAATGGTGAAATGTTTCTTTCTTTATAAAGGGCAGGTCTGGTAGCCAGGATGGGGGTGCCAGGAGGGTAGAGCAGGCAATGCCCAGCTTAGATGGACCTGCCCGTGGCGTGATATGCTGTGGCGGACCTAGGATCCGGGACTTGACTTCGGCTGACTAACCCAGAAATGAGTGCCCCACTCTTGCCAACCCAAATCAAAGCCTTAGGCAACACGGCACTCCTCGTACTCCTCCCAGCAAGTGCTAATGGGGTTGGAAAATGACCTTTAGTACTTTAAGCTGGGCTCCGGGAGCCTCAGACCATCCCTGCCCTACCCTCAGTTACAGTGGCCCAACTCTAGTTTTCTGAATTTATACATCGGTTTTAGAAGAAACCATCCCACTCTATAAAGTTAAAAAAAAGTTTTTTTCACTGTTGTACTGAACAGCAAGGTCTCAAGATGTCCTCAGTGGCCCCCCCACCTGCCTTTGTGGAAAGGACATAATTCTTTTCCAGGGGCATGTGCTGGGAGGGAGCAGACCTGACCCGACACTAGGCCTCAGGGACTCCTCTCATGGGCCTTGGCTTGAGAGGCTGGAGCTGCTGGCCGTGACTGGCCCTGTCGCCTCTGGAGCCTCCTCCCACTGTGATCTGTGGCGTCTCAGAGCCTCAGTTTCCTGTGAAAACAACCACAGCCCTCCTCTCCTGGAGCTGTTGTGAGGGCTGTTTCCTTAGCAGGGTATCTGGCGAGAGAAGGGTTTCACATTCAGAGTAAAGGGCAATGACGATTCTTTGGCCCTGCAAGTTGAGAGAGGTTAGCATTCTTATCCTCCTAAAAGCATTTCTCCCCTCTGCGCACAGCCCTTTACTGTTTCCAAATACTCTTCCAAAAAAAATCAGTGTAAAAACAAATGGTTTAAGGTCCTTTCAGACCTCATCTCAGAGGAAACCTATATTTAGAGCCTTTTCAGAGGTTCCATTGTATTTAATCCATCCCCCCTACACACACACACACACACACACACACACACACACACACAAACACACCTTGTTTAGAATCACTGACCATTAGAACTAGCACTACTAACTACTGTGATCCGGGAGAAACTTGTCAAAGGGATGAGTGGGTGAACCCAAGTGTGCCCTGGAACCCAGAATTGTTCAGACTCCCCAGACACCTGACTCTGGTTTGGATCTAGCTAGTCTAATCCAGAGATTTTTAGATAAAAATAGATGAGACAAGGCCAGGTTTGGTGGCACATGCCTGCAATCCTGGCACTTGGGAGGCTGAAGCAGGAGGATTGTCATGAGTTTGAGGCTAGCAATGTAGTGAGCTCAAGCCCAGCCTCAACTACATAGCAAGACCCTGTCTCAAAAAAAAAAAAAAAGACGAGACAAAAGCATAACTGTAGGCTGGGGACGTTGCATGGTGGGGAAGCACTTGTCCAGCATTCATAAAACCCTGAATTCCACCCTCAGTCCTGGGGGCAGGAGCAGCTGCTCAGGGTGAAACAAACCTGTCAGACAGAGCCCAGTGAAATCCAAATGCCTGCTGGGCGACGTGGTGGTGCATGCCTGTAATCTGAGCACTTGGGAGGCTGAGGCAGGAGGATCGCCATGCATTTGAGGCTAGCCTCGGCTACATAGCAAGTTCAAGGCCAGACTCAGAAAAGCAAAAAAAAAAAAACAAAGAAAGAAAGAAAAGAAAAATAAGAGTGTAGGCACTGTTCTAGATTTAAAAAGAAATATGATAATGAAATGCATATAGTACCTGTTATGGTTGATATATTGTGTTAACTTGGGGAGTTTAGAACTTTGGCTAAGTGACTCAGCAGTTTTGCATCTTGGGGTTAAAAAGGACATGCCCTTATCTTTTTGGGATGTTGTTTATTGTGTTAATTTGAAAAGTTTAGAAGGTTAACTATGTGACTCAGAAGGGAGCCAGGGTGTTTATTTATTTATTTATTTTGTTTTTTTTTCCCCGGTACCAGGAATCGAACTCACGACCTTGCGCTTGCCAGGCAGGCTCTGTGCCGCTGAGCTAAATCCCCAGCCCCCAGGGTGTTTATTTTGTATTTATCTTAAGCCTGTGTAAGAGAAACACATGTAGAGGGTGTGGGTGTAGAGGACCACCCCCATCCCCCCAGAGTAGGCAGACTGCATTAAAAAAAGGAATTGAGGAAGGACTGGCTGTTGGTTTTTTGGAGGAGATCTAGTTTTTTGTTTTTGCTGTGTTCTGCCGTGGGGCCAGCTAGGTGGCCATAGCTTGCAGGGCTGGGGTAAGGTACTTCAAAAGGCTGTGTATGCTTCAAATCAGTGCCCACTATATGGCACTGTGTCTCCCATAGCCAGGATTCATGGGTCCAGGAATCAAGGGGTGGAAGTAGGGATGGTACCACACATCATTACTCCTAGTGACCCATTAGCAAAATTTCTGCTTCCTGTCCCCACAACCTTAGGTTCTGCTGGCTTAGACGTCTTAGTTTCAGAGCGGGGGAAGGCTTGCACCAGGAAGCACAGCAATGATACCATTGAACTGGAAGCTAAGATTTCCCCCTGGTCATTTTGGTCTCCTCATGCCTCTGAGGAAAGAGGCTGAAAAGGGAGTCACAGTGTTGTCAGGGGTAATTGACCCGGATTATCAAGGGGAAATTGGACTACTACTCCACAATAGAGGAAAGAAAGAATATAAGTGGAGTGCAGGAGATCCTTTAGGGTGCCTCTTAGTATTACCATGCTCTGTTATTAAAATCAATAGGAAACTACAACAACCTAATATAGGCACAATAAAAAATGGCCCAGAGCCTTCAAAAATAAAGATACAGTTCATTCCACCAGGGAAAGAACCAAGACCTGCTAAGGTGCTTGCTAAAGGCCAAGAGAATACAGAATGGGTAATAAAAAAAGATAGTTCTAAATACCAGCTACTACCCTGTGATCAGCTACAAAAAAAAAATTATAATTGTACTATTTCTCCCCTAACATGGTTCTAATGTAATATAATGTTGATAGTGTTACTACTGGTCCTTAAGGATTGTTAAACTTTGTTATACTGTTCAAGTTGTAAAATGATAAAAATAACCATTACTCAAGAAAAACTTACCTTCTACTTTGATAAGGAAATTAGTGCGTTTACGTTTATACATAAGATAGTTATAACATGTTAGGAGTAATTATAAGCATGTCTTTATATCTAAAAACTGGTTTAAAAAAATGTGTCTGACTGCCAAGTTGACAAGGGGTGGGGTGTTATGGTTGATACATTGTGTCAACTTGGGGAGTCTAGAGGTTTGGCTAAGTGACTTAGCAGTTCTGCATCTTGGGGTAAAAAGGACATGCCCTTACCCTTCTGGGATGTTGTTTATTCTGTTAATTTGAGAAGTTTAGAAGGTTAACTATGTGACTCAGAAGGGAGCCAGGGTGCTTACTTTGTATTCATCATAAACCTGTGCAAGAGAAACACATGCAGAGGGTGTGGGTGTAGAGGAACACCCCCATCCCCCCAGAGCAGGTAGGCTGCATTAAAAAAAAGGAATTGAGGAAGGACTGGCTGCTGGTTCTTTGGAGGCGCTCCAGTCTTCGCCTTCAGCTTGGTCGTCTCCTGGCTTCTGGTGCAGACTGTTGGGCTTCTGTCTGGACTCTTCAGCCTTCTGGTGTTGGCTCTCCGGCCTTCATCGTAGATTCTTCAGCCTTCTGTTGCAGACCCATCAGCCCTTTGATATGGACTTGCATGGACACTGCAGTGAGCTCCAGGCCTGGGGCTGGGCTCTTCAATCCCCAGCATGCAGACACCCTCTGCACACTTCCTCATCCAACTCTGTAGCTGACCATTGTAAGCCAAACTTGTAATTTCTTATACATTTGTTTATCTTGTATTATATCTATTCCTCTAGTAAACCCTGACTGATACAGTACCTAATCCTGGCTAGATCCTGTTTGGGAAAGAAAAATAGCTATAAAAAACATTAGGTCATAACAGGGACATTTTAAATATGGTTCTAATATTAGGGAATTGCTATCAATTAATTGTCTTAGATCTGATCATGATATTGTGAATATGTAGAAGAATGTTCTTAGGTGATGCATTTTGAAATATTCAAGGGTGAAGTGTCATGTATCTGTAAGTCACTTTCAAATGGATTAAAAAAAGGGAAACTGAAAGAGACAAAACAAATCAGACAAAAGACAAATATTGACTCATTTAATGGAGCAAATAGTGCTCACTATACAATTCTTTCAATTTTCTTATATTTGAAAAAATCTGGGAGAAAAGTTTTTGTTTGTTTTGTTTTGTGGGGTTTTTTTTTTTTTTTTTGGTACCAGGAATCAAACTCACAACCTTGCACTTGCCAGGCAGGCACTGTGCTGCTGAGCTATATCCTCGGCCCCTTGTTTTGTGTTTTCGAAATAGTGTCTCACCATGTAGGCCAGGCGTGGCCTGTAACTCAGGATCCTCGTGTCTCAGTCTCTGGAGGGCCGGGATTACAGTCGTGCACCACCACATCCTGCTGGGGGGTAGAGGGGGTGGGGGCCAGTTAAAAGTAAGAAAAGTATAAATGAGAAAATAACTGCCAATGGTTTTCTAATTATGTAGTGGATAAAACATTTAATGTACTATTAAAAAGCAAAAAAGCATTCCATTACAGACTCATAAATTTAGCTATCTAATGTTTAAGCTTTTGAATTGCAATCAGGAACCATAAACAAATGACACTTGATAGATTGGGAAAAAATATAGGCAACATATTTGACAAGAAAAGTTGCATATTCTTAGTCTATATTTCAGTTATTACAATTGAAAAAAATGACAAGGGGAGAGGAGGCAATGAAAAAATGAATTTTAAGGCAACCTTTTGGTGCTTGGGCCAAATTCGTTGCCAGCTCCTCTCCATCTGCACGGATGGATCAAGGCCTGAGTCACACAGTGGTTTTCACAAATGTATTTACTAAGACTTTCTGCAATGAAGCTCCTAAGTGTGTTAGAATCTGAACCTGGATTTAGCCTCTCTCCTAAACAGCTT